GTTCCTAGCGTGTCCTAGTTGCACAAATTCATCGATGAATTTTTTGTATTCTAAGAAGAGAGAGGGATCCTTTTCGAATCTTCTTTCTAGACTAATAAATCTTTTCGATGCATTCGAAAAGGAATTTCCGAGTTTCTCATATTCTGAGGGAGTTTTTAGAGGAATAGAAACTTGATATCTACCATCCTCTAAGACCTTGGTAGTTGAAGTGAATATTTTTTCGGCAGCGGACTCTTCTTCATTCAGGAAGGTCTTAGGCGGAATTTGCTCCAGTTCCCAGAATTTTGCGATAGTTTTTTCTAATTCAGTGGTTTGAGCGAGTAAGGAGACCTTTCCGTGTGCACTGGTCGTGAAATTGGTGGTAACACTGGATGAAGCAGTCACCGATGGAACGCTTCCCGCTATCAAATAGCCTAAGTGGGAATTTTGAAGTACTGGGAGGTTAGATCCTAGTTTAATTAATCCTTCATCGAGAATGTCGTAATACAGATCTGCTCCAATGAGCATGTCTATCTCTTCGGGGATGTGAAAATATGGGTCTGCGAGTTGGATATTTTTCGGTAACCTTAAGGATTGAACATCAATTTCTACTTGGGGTAATTTACAAGTGATCTTTTTAAGGACAGCACACGTGACCTTAAATTTCACATCAGGATTGACATCAGAGTAAATAAAGATGTTGACCATTTTATGCGACGCAACACAATTTTCGGAAATTCCGAAGATGGACAATATCTTTTTGAATGGTTGGCACCCGAGTCTTGAAACTAACTGTTCAGTCGCGAAGGAGCTTTGACTGGCAGAATCCAATAGGGCCTTGACTTGAATAGGAGTTCCTTCTTTCGAGTATACTGTGACTAAAGCCGTGGCTAATAGAATTTGAGAACTAGTTCTTGATGTCGATGCGTGTGAAAGAGATTGATTTTTTCTCACGTCAGAGGTTTGGGGCGAGTTCCTAGAGGTGCTCGTGAATGTTTGTTGAAGAGAGGTTGAATTTTTAGTTTGAGGCACAGGCTTGGGAGCATTTGACACGTGCAAAAGGGTATGATGACTGGATTTTTGACAGATAAAACATTTCTGCGTTGATCGACAATTTTCAGTAACGTGTCTATTGCCTAAACAAATCGAACAAATATTATTTGACCTTACAAATTCCTGTTTTTCAGACATCGGTATGTTTTTAAATCCGTAGCACGTATAAATACGATGACCTTCCTTGGTGCAATAGATACATGAACTTTGATTTCTGGAATTCTGAGGGTTATTATTTGTATGTAAACTAGTTCTTTCATTTTTCTTTACGAATTTGTTTTCGAAAGCGAGTAAATTTTCGAGGACAACACAGCGGCTATTAAGAAATGTAAAGAAGTCTTCTAAAGTCGGTAACTCGTTTTTGTCTTTACCTTTTTCCTCCTCAAAAAGTTTCTTTGAAGTGTAGTCTAATTTTTTTTGGAATAAATTTATCAAAACTAGTTCAAACAGTTGTCTATCAGACAAATTTAAATTTTTTAAAGATTCAATATTTTTCTTACAATTTACTACAAAGTCTCTTAAATTTTGCGCATTACATTTTGTTATAGTTGGCAAGTCTAATAGTGAGTTCAACAAATGGTTTAAAAGCAAACACTTATTTTCATATCTGTCTCTTAAAATTTTCAACGCGATTTCAAAATTTTCGTTCGTCACACTAAGGGAGTCTATAAGTTTTAAACTTTCACCTTTCAAGTAAGATTTTAGATACAAAAATCTTTGAATGTCACTTATACTAGGGTTCTTAATAATTAGCGCATCAAACAGCTGATAAAAGGCCGCCCAATCACTTTGATTATTAGAAAACTGGTTGATTTTGATCTCTGGTAATTTAACAGACGGTATATTTGACACAGAATTAGAATTTGTTAACATATGCGAGGTTACAGCGGAATTATTTAAATTAGGTGATAATTGTTCAATTACATGTTGAATTATTGATAAATGTTTAAAATATTTACTTTCTACAGCATCTCTATCCTCAGCATGATCCCCTTGATCAACAGGTAACTCAAGTAAAAGCGTCTCGATGCAATTCTGAACATCATTATATTCCGAAAATACTTTTTCTAATTTATCAGCGCGCATTTGAAATTCAAATTTATCTTTGATAACATCTTTGTTGGAGTTTACCCAGTTACAAATCCTAGTTATCGAGCTTTTTAAATGGGCTCTTTGATTTTTTAAATCTTCCAGCGAATTGATAGACATTTTAAAAGTATTCACTTGAATTGATTTTTCAAAACAGCGAAATGAACATACGAATTTTTTACCGCTACAGTTGTATATAACTATGCTTTACTAAATGCAATTTTAAATGCTTTCCGCAGAAGAGCCAGGCAATCACGTGAAATAACGTCAAAACGCGAAGTATTGCACAACACTTTATAAAATTGGAATTGTCTCACCAAACTTCTGAAGTACGGTCCTGTCTAACCGCGACGAAAGCGAGTCCAAACTCGTGTCGGTAATTTTTCAAAGACCGAAGGAAGCTGCTTCCGTCCGAGCGTCTCCGTCGGCGTCAATTCAGTACCAAGCAAGCTGATTTGGTAATAATAACCAAACGTTACGATGCGTTGAGGAGTTTTACAATTTTTCTGATAGGCAAAACGGCCAACAATCCGGCTGCTATGGACCAAACAATGGGGGAGAAACGTATCCTTGCTTCACCACCATCTAACGGGTTGATTTGTTGGGGGTGTGGACTGTATTCTTGCGGGGCTGGTTTATTTTAAATGATAGCCGTTTAACACAACACAAACTATATTCTGTCACAACGCGACGACGGTACAAGATAAGGCATTTAACAATCGGTTTATTTGAGTTAATCACAAACACAATTTGCGTTAAAATAGAGATTAAACTTCCTCGAAAGAAACCATTTGAGGGGCTAGTCCAAAGAGGACACCGACTTATAAGGGAATATTAAGAGTGAAGGGGGCTTAAAGGGGGGGTTTAGCGATAGGGCGATTTTCACTTTTCTATCGTCAAGGGCGGTCGCGGTCGACTGACTAACTGCGCGCAACGCATGTCTGGAAAACAGGCGCCGTCGGGGCGGTCAGTCACGTCTATGCAGCGTGATCAAGGGAGGCGATAGACGTTGTCACGTCTAACGCAATATCCGCGTTTCAGGGTTCGCGAGGGCATTGGGTTGTTTTATCAACATCTATGATACTTTTTTTGTTAGTTTTGGTTGGTTAGTTAATTCCGTGTTCATTGCACAAAGTGTTATCAATATAATGTTAAATTACTAGTAACTTTAAGTGATATATTTCAACAAAGTCGAGCTTTGATCCAAACGGACATGCAATTCCAACCAAAGAAAATTCGTAACTGGTAAATATCTTCTTCTTTTTCCTACCTCATTTGATTGCCTGTTTTTTTCACATCTTTGCCATCATTCAGTCATTTGGGAGGTTGTGGCTCCACCTTTTCCTAGGTCTTCCAAGGCTGCTTCGTCCTGCTGGTGATTTGTCCCGATGTTTTCACTATTCGTTCTTCTGCCGGACGATCAATGTGTTCATTTCACTTTATCTTTCGATCCAGCACCCAGTCATTGATGTTATCTACTCCGCACACTCGCCTAATATCTTCACTTATTTCCCTATCTATGAATGTTTTTCCCGCTATTTCTCGAACTATTTTCATTTCCGTGGTTTCTAATATTATTTTTGTTTTCGAGGTCTCAAGGTAGATTTGTGCTGCATAGGTGAGTATAGGTCTAATAGCAGTTTTATATATTCGGGATTTTGCTTCAGTTCGGTTGTGTTTGGTTGCGTTCAGATATGCTGCTGTCGTAGACGCTCTTGTAACTTGGATCCTTACTTTTATCTCAACGTCTGTATATGCAGATATTTCAAATTTATTAAATCAAATATTTTAATTTCATTTCCTGTTGTATTATGTTGTCCTCAACCACAAGTTTGCATTTGATCGGTGACTTGGAAGTGACCATCGATTTTGTTTTTGTCGCATATTACATTGTTTGGCTGTTTTATTGAACTGGTGCAGAAGTCTTTGAAGACAATATTCCTTCTCCATCACAAGAACTGCGTTATCTGCATAGCACAGAATTTTCACTTCTTTATTTCCCATTTTGTATCCTCTTAGTTTATCCTGTTGTTTGTCTTATTACAAAGATGGCATCTGTGCAGGATCTTCCTCATCTAAATCCCTGTTGTTCGTCCGCTAGTGTGATATATTCATTCGCTATTATCTTCGTAGTTAACTTCAGGGTGGTATATAGTAAATTTATGCCCCAGTAGTTCTCGGGATTGTTTTTATCACCATTTTTGAAAAAGAGAACCATAACGCTAGTTCGCCATTGATCTAGTGTTCTATGTTGGGAGAAAATCTTCTTGATTACAGCTGTTAACTGTTGGTTTAGCTTTTCACCTCCGTACTTAAGTAGCTCGGTTGTGATGTTATCATGTCCCTGACTCTTTTTCTTCTTTAATTTTTGGAGTGCTGTTACTATATCGTTCTTTTCTAGATCGATCCCAACACTTGCTATTATGTCTGGTGTATTGGATTTAGTTTTCTCCTCCACTTTATTGTAAAGTCCCTTCAAGTATTTCATCCAAATGTCCTTCTCTAAGTGTAATAGAAGTCCATAGAATTCACGATCCACTCTTTTGGAGAAGATTTCCGAGTGTTGGTCTTCGGTTTGTCTAACTAATGTTTAGTGTCGTTGCGGATTCTCTTATATTCTTCGTATAATTCTGCCGTTTTTGATGACACATACTTTAAGTAGGCTTTCTTTTTCTTTTTGCATTGCTATTGAATATTACTACAGAATCACGGGCTTCTATGATGTTCTCTGTTAGTTTGGTTATAACGTAGTCTGTTGTTGATTGTTGTCCTCTAGAATTACTGAAAGTAATTCCCTATTACTGTTCAAAATATTTTCATTAAAGCGTTGTTTCAAGCCCGGCGACTAATATAATTTCAATAATTAAAATTAATTTCAGAATCTGCCGCAGACTATACGAAAGAAAAAATCGAAAGACTACAACATCAAAATTTTCGTGATATTCCTGTTCATAACTATAGTAGTTCTGATATGCAGCGCTTATTTCCTTTACCATCAGAAAATCCTCGCCAAAGCGTACTTCGAAAAAATCAAATTCAACAAGGACAAGCGGATTATGAAAATATTCAACACCGACGGTAAAACAAACTGATACCATTTTACGTTCAATTCTTTTGAAGAACTAAGTTTCAGGGGTGGAAATAATACACGCCAGGCTTGGCACCACAATAAATTTCGACAAAGTGCTGCCCTGTCTCGAAATGGACCAAAGAAACGACGGTTCCATATGCATGGAGTGGATGTACAGGGCGAGACTCTACTTGCACCTGTATAAGGTGCACGACAACATAAAATGCTATAACCTGAAATGGATCGCGCTGAACGAGAATTTGCCACCCACTGACTGTTTCGAAATGGCACCTGGAGTTCACTGGTAACTGCTTATATTTTTCATCTAGCTATACAGAGTGCTACAAAATGTTGTGAACAAAAATTGAAAGCATATTTAGAACGTAATTGGTTTTGCCAAAAATTGCTGCCACCTTCTGATATGTATAAAATGTCTCGCTGTGGGGTACTGTTTGAAAAATAAAGTTGTCTGAATATACTTAACGATGTCGTTACACTTACTAAATGAGATCTTAAGTTTAAACCTGGGCGAAAGAATTTCTAGAAAAGTTAAACCTCTCATGAAGAACAAAATGTGTACGGCTTGAGACGAAGGATGACATGATAGTTTTAAGAGGCAAAGTATATTGAAAATCCATGTAAGGTACATCTGACCTACTTTATCGATTATTTTACTTCATTGTTATCTCATATCCTTACGAAAGGCTCTAGTTATTGCTTGCTCCAACAAATCGCCATTTTTTTCTAGATACCTGACTTCTATAGATTCGATGAGTATAACTTGGTTTCAGATTTTTTCCTAAATTTCGACTTTCAATAATGCTAAACACCATCGTTAGAGAAACTAAAAAATTGGGAAAGAGAACAGGCATTGTAATATTGCTAATGACTAATTGCAATTCTAGATATTGAACGTTAACTGGAAAACATATAAAAAAAGATGGGATCATCGTCTTCCAAAACAACAAAGAGAAAAAGAAAAAGTCCATATAAATGTAGGTTCACAAATATAATGATTTTTAGTGAATTTAATTAAAATTGTGAAGTGCCTTCGCCTGAGGTATCTTAAAGAATAACCCACTGAGTTGTTTTTGTATTTTGCCTCATTTTATGATTTACTAGTTGGACTGTTTTGTACATTATAAACTTATCAAGTGTCGAAAATTACCACCCCATCAGTAAAGATTTTTGAAAAATATTTAAGACGCTGAGGATCAGCGTTTTGTGAAACATACGTTATAACAAAATGAACACGTATGTAACCTATTTTATTTCAGGAGCATATTAAGTAGAATAAATTTTATGTTTAAGTGTGTAGCATAATTAGAATCTAGACTATTGTTTTTAAACGCTCTTTTATGTTCGTTAATTAACAAACATAAAAGAGCGTTTAAAAACAATAGGCTAGATTCTAATTATGTTAAACACTTAGCACAGAAAAACACATTTTTGACAACAATTTGATATTTTACATACAGCCACAAAAAGTAGAAAATTAAATTTATTGGAAGCCATGGAGATTAACAAAATGAGACATTCAAATGTATTGCTCAACAATCAAATAGATTTAAATACCTCTCCATTATTATACTTAAATTCTCACAATATTAATTAAGGTTTTATTGTCATTTTTCGGTATATATAGTAGCAGGTAGTTTGTAAATATTGCATTTGATAAAGACACGGTGTTGTCGAAACAATTGTCATGTGAATATATATAATTTCGTGAAAATCTGAACTTTTAGTTCTTATTTATTGTTTTAAATGGATTTTCATCAAGCAAAAGCCACCTGAGTTCAAAAAGTTTTCAATTAATAATAATAATTATAAGTTAGGCATGCAGGAATGCTGGATAATTGTCATGTGAATATATATAATTTCGTGAAAATCTGAACTTTTAGTTTTTATTTATTTTAATTAAGCTTTGGATAGTATTTGGTAATTATGATTGGTTTCTTGACAGGGCATAGTTATGGCTTTCACTTGTTTGCGTCTCAAACAGCAAATATAACTAAATATTCATCACAAGGAATGTTGAAAGTATTAACAGACGTTTCCGGACTAGATTTTACTCAGTTAGGTTAAATATGTTCGGACAATAGAGATTGTGTAATAATTTTAAGTAGATCTTTGAAGAAAAAAAATTTCAATATTAATATTGTTAAAAAACTAATAACAAAAATCATAAATAATTAAAAAAAATGGAAAAAATAAAAATAATAATGATAATATTATCAATAAAATTATTTAAAAATATAAAATAAAAATATACCGGGTGTATCCATTTCGACTTTCACCGTTAGGATCTTGGCAACTGTAAGAGATACAGGTCGACTTAAATTACTGCAAAATTGCGCATCGGTGACTTCAATAATGTTCCGTTTTGAAACTGAAGTTACTTCCGGAAATATCGTAGAAAATCTGAAACTTCGCGTTTTCGTTTTTATTTTCTTATGTCTTCATTTTATAACTTAGCAAAAATCTGCAAATACATTCTCATTTTTAGCCTTTATCTTATGGCCGGGTCAAAATTATCTTACGACGGTTCGTTCTTCGCAAACCATCATCAACTCTATTTTTTCTTATGGTCGCCATATTGGATTTTTGCAATGTTCAATAGCCCATATTATTACCTTGTTGTTGATGTGTCACAAGTTGTATTTGTATTCCCTCAAATTCTAAATATTGAACAAAAACTTTTATACCATAGTAAGCTATGAATTTTCAAATGTGTCGATGACATTTTAATATCTAGCGCATTATTGTGTCGTTAAAAATAGACTTTACTGCACACTGCAAAAATCCGATATGATGACCACAAGAAAAAATAAAGTTGACGATGGTTTGAGAAAAACGAAATATCGTAACTGATTTTTGACCGTTCCATAAGATGAAGCCTAAAAAGTTCCAATGAGAATTTGCTAACTTTTAAAATAAAGAGACTTCTGATCCTTGAATTTCACCACTAATATTTAAAGGTATTTTTGTTTCCGATATATGGCATTCCACATTCGCAGGGTATTTTGTTGACTCATTCCTTGCTCTTGGATCGATGTTTATGACTTTGTTCTTATCAGTATGCTTCTTAATGTCCTCCTGAACTTGAATTCAGTTTTACCTTTGTATAGTTTCGCTATTCCACTGATCTTTTCTAAGATTCCCTTCACGTATGGGATCGTCTGTTGCTTTCCGTCAACAATTTGATAATGTTTTGGCAATGTATATAGAATTAAATAGAGAGCACCTAAGGAGCTCCAGCACTCCTTCCAGTGGTAGTGGAGTTCTCCCTGGACGTCTCAATTTGGCCTCGACAATATTTAACGACTCCTCCAATGGGTTCGTGTATAAATTCTCCAAATGCTATTGGGAGTTCTTTACAAATGAAGGAGTTTTTCCCACAAGTGACTTAACTCGAACTGGTGATAGGTCTGAGTGGTACATTATCTTCGTGGATTTTTGGTAATCCATAAAGATGTGGTCATTTATACTGATGTGGAGTTATCGAAGTTCTAATATTTATCCGAAATATGGTGTCCGGATTTATGCAGTGCTCGATGGTTTCTTCCCTCAATCGTCTTAGTAGGGTATTTAGAAAGTATTTGTTTTTAGCAAGTGTCTTCTCGATTTTGTGATCGTATTTCTCTATCTATTAGTTTTTGAATTGAATCAGTGTCTACCATCTTCAAGCAAACACTAAGTAATATATTTTTCCCCACCCTTTAACCACCTTTCCCAATAAAAAGATAACGCAACAGAATTATATAAATTATATATATATATATATATATATATATATATATATATATATATATATATATATATATATATATATATATATATATATATATATATATATATATATATATATATAATATATAAATCGACACCTAATTTCCAATGGAATAGAAAAAATAAAAACAACACAAACACAATATTAATAATAGATTTTCGCGAGATTTGTACTGACCAGCGCTTGCAAGAGCGTTAATTGCTGAATAATTCCGTAGGTACGGGGGCGGTCAGACGGCGGAGTCGGCGTGGCCGCTGGAAAAGGGCGCTCACGATTTCCAGCCCTTTATTACCGGCCAAGTGGACCGACACGAGTGGGGCAACGTGCTCAAACGCTACTTCATCAACTCCAAAGGGGCCGCGATCGTAGTGGACGAAAAAACGCCCCTGTACACGGCGATTGTGGAAGACGGCAAGAAAGAGTTCTGCATAAGGGCGCAGTACGACGACTTCGCTTACGTCAACAGGCCGACGCCGACGGCCCAGCTGAACTATAGCATCTGCACGGGGGAAAATATGTCCGATTTGCATTCGCAATTGAGGTGGGCATGGCGGGAAGAAATGAACACTAGATCACAGATACACACAAATTTATTTTATTTATCTATTTATTCATTTGATGAAATTCACAATTCACAAAACTCCTCCAAGGAGCAATAAATCTAATCTGGCAAGTGATCAAAATTATAATGGGTGTTTTTTTTCGATGTATATAATTTTAAATTGCCATTACTGTTCAAGATGGCGACCGATTTAACAGCTGTCAAGTGATTTATTCTCAGTTTGGTTTGGCAATTTATCATGAATAGACTCACGCCTGAACAACGCTTGCAAATAGTGCAATTTTATTTCGAAAATAATGGTTCTGTGCGGAATACGTATCGCACACTACGTCCATCAGAGCAGTTAATTCGATTAACCATGGAACGTTTTCGCACCACGTTTACTCTTATTGATAATTCGCATCCCCAGAGACGCCGTACGGTGATTACAGAAGAAGCTATTACTGCTGTAGAGCGTAGCATTGAGGAAAACCCGAATGAGTCCATCCGCCATCGAGCACAGGAATTGGGTCTGTGTCCATCCACTTTATGGAAGATTTTGCGGAAGGATCTTGGTTTACGTGTTTACAAAATCCAACTCGTGCAAGAATTGAAGCCAAACGATCATCAAGTAAGGCGTAGATTCGCACTTCTGGTTGAATGGCTACGTCAACAAACAAAACTGCCGCATTTGGAGCGAAGCTAATCCTCAAGTGTTTGTCGAAACACCGTTACATCCAGAAAAACTGACTGTTTGGTGCGCTTTATGGGCTGGTGGAATCATTGGTCCGTACTTCTTCAAAAACGATGATGGCCAGAACGTTACAGTCAATGGTGATCGGTATAGAGCTATGATTACTAACTCTTTCATTCCTGAATTGAATAACCATGATGTCCAGGAGATGTGGTTTCAACAAGACGGCGCAACATGTCACTCAGCTCGTGCCACAATCGATTTATTGAAAGACACGTTTAATTTCACGGTTTGAACTGACCTCCAAGATCTTGTGATTTAACACCGCTAGACTACTTTCTGTGTCATTGGTCTATGCGGATAAGCCACAAACGCTTGACCATTTGGAAGACAACATTCGCCATGTTATTGCCGATATACGGCCACAAATGTTGGAAAAAGTCACCCAAAATTGGACGTCCAGATTGGACTACATCCTCGCCAGCCGTGGCGGTCATATGCCAGAAATGATATTTAAAATGTAATGCCACAAGATTATCTTTCGGATAAATAAAATTCATGTCAATCGAATAATCCATGTTGTTCGTTCTATACATCGAAAAAAAAACACCCCTTACATAGCTGCTTCTTATGGTACGACTCAACTCATACAGTGGAACTCGCAAGTTATTAGATGAACTAATAATATCAATTTTAGCATATGTTATAAAGTTCCGTAAAAAACATATAATGAAGTCACAGTAACTATCTTTAAATTCCTGAAAAGGTCAGTACGGGAAAAGGTACTCTTTTTAAATGTTATATATAAGTATATACAAATTATACCGAGGGGGTAGGGGGATTTTGATGTATCTGCAGATAAACCCTTAAAGATAGATATATAGAAGTTTAAGAAGAAAATATAACCCGCCCAGTCCAAATATTTGCAAAAAATGGATTTTATCGATAATTTATCCACATTTTTAGAAAATTACACTAGATTCGAATTCCTGAAAATTTACTGAAAAATTACCTCAAAATACCATTTTAGGCCGAAATTCGATGGTTAACCTTTCATGTTTTATATCTCGCTTATTTACAGTAGAGTAATCAATGGATAAAGAGAAGTTAATACGTTACATACTTTGATCTATTCTCTATCGGACAGTATGGAATAGTCGATTATATGTTGTACCGTTCGCCATTTTTAATGATTTTGGTGAGAGACTCAAAAAATAAATAATAATAATTCGGGCTAAACGGAGGGGGTAGGATCTTTACTTTCAGTAAAAATTCACAAGCAAAGTTACAATAGAAAAAAAATAAAAACGCCCCTGTACGCAAGATTCATATTCATTCATATTTTAGATAAAAATTTTAGATAAAAATATTGCAGAGGTAGAACAAACTGCATTAATCAAAAATGATATGAATTCTTTATTGGTCGATTTACTTGTTATTTCATTTATCCTGATTTCTACGATCCTTCGTTTGCCCAAACTACGTTCTTGCTTTTATCTTTAGCATCGCGTTTGTATTATATTGACTTTATAGTATGATCCAAAAGATACCTAAGGGCCTACATGCTAATTACGGATCAGAAACCATTCCCACTCTACGATAGAATGTGTTCTACATGTGGATGGGATAAATGTTGTTTCAGCCAAATAAATAACAAAATAATTAAATTAGTTAAAATTCTGAACCCTTGTTTCAAATAAACAGCATAGTTATTGTTATTAGGAGTTAAATTGATATTAATGTCATCCCTTCGCAGTAAACCTGTCAATCTAGTGACAAAAAACAAAGAAAAAATCTTAATTTGGGATATCAAAAAGCTAATTGATTGGTATAAAATGGTTAGTTAATAAAACGTAATTATTATGGTATGAGTCTTGTGAGATCACTGGTGGATGAATAAATGACTTATGGATAAGCCAACCTCACAAATATCCTAATTTATTTACTTGTTTATTAATTGCCTCAGTAACGATTTTCTTAAGTACCACACTTTCTTTTGTTTTATCCACTTAAAATAAAAAAAGGAGGACAGGACATCATGTATTCAGTTAATTAACGAATTTATAAATCTCTAAATCACCAATGGTTCTACTCTTGGATTTTGTCGTAAAGAATAAGAAATAAGTTCTAAAAACTTACCCTTTTTGATTTCAGCGAGCACACACTGTGGGACGGTCTGAAAAAAGAAGACGCCGACATTATCGAAAGTTTGTTAACCGAACCGCTCTGGGAAATCACTTCAGACAACAAGGAGGATTTGACCGAAGGTAGATAGGTGTTCATAAAAAAAATCTCGCGCGGCTTTTAAATCCATATTTTGTGAATGACGCAAATGAATCATAAATTGATTACCCTAACTATTCTACATGAAGCTTTGTTTGCGCTTTAACGAATTTGAATTCCTAAGAAAACTCTCTGAGATTCAACCTTTTTATAAATATTCATTATCATAAGCTCTACGCGATACCTTTATTCACTGTTCACTGTTGATCACTACCTATAGATAGATAGATAGACATTTGGATGTCTTCTATTATGTGCTTCCTAGGCGACTTATTTCAGCCAATTTAGTTAACCACATCTCGAATGAGAGACCTAGTACGTCACACATCCCTACTTATTGAACGCAACGCTTATGGGAAGTTACTATTTTCAGTTGTTTACCGCCATTTAATGTTCTGGTCTTCTTGACTTCGACTGAAAACTAGTACTTTTGATCTCATCTCTCTACGTCATCTGCATTGTTGTTGATTACGATTATCATTTATTTTGACACCCTTGAAACATTCGTACGGTGTCTGATAATATTAAACGCATATGCATTGAATAGGAAGAATAAGAGTTTTTGGGTTTCTATAATCAACAGAATACAGGCCAAAAATCTTCCTTTGTACTTCCAAATACCTTTCTGCTATCACACACATCCCTGCATTGCCTGTCTTGTCTTGTACCTCGCTTCCTGGATCCATATTGCGATCGGTTTAGATGTTCTTTATGCCTGTTATAGATGCGGTTGAAAATGAATCGCATAAAGGCGTCTGCTCAATAAGGCGTTTGAAAAGCTGCGAACGGGCCTATATTGAACATTGGTTACTACTAAGGTTTTTTTCCTTCTCAATCTGGGGGTAGTTTTCCGCTGTTTCGTCTTCAAACATATCTTCTATGCCAATATTAGTTTCTTTGGAGGTTGCCTTAAACCCCTACGCTTCTCTCTATACTAATAAGCTTGACGTTCTAGCCCTCTAGGTCCCAAAGTGGATGATTTGGTTTGATTTGTTTGATTTTTTCTTAAATAATTTTCAAATCATCCACTTTGGAGAGAGGTATATCTGGTTAGAGTTTTTTCTATATTTGCGTTTCAGAGGCCGTTTCGAATTTTACCAACGACGTGATCGCGCTGGGCACCCTCAAACAAGGCCACGTGCTCATCAACGAGTTTTGGCAGAACCAAGTGGGCGATTTCGAGGTCGACCAGGACCGATTCCCGACCCTGAACAAAACGATCGACATGCTCAGACGGCGAGGCTTCCGGGTAGTTTTCTCAATACAGCCGTTCATATCGACCGAAAGCTTCAACTTTGCCGAAGCTGTCAGAAAGCGGTTGCTGATCGCCGAGAGGTTCAGCGACAGGCGCATACCGGCGTTGACGCGATACAAAACCCTTGAAGCGGCGGGAGTATTGGACGTGACCAACAACCGAACCGTACCTTGGTTGTTGGAAAAGTTGAAGACCGTGATGGGGCGTTACAAGTTCAACGCCTATTACCTCGATCTGGGGATAGCGTACAACATGCCGCACTACTATCAGTGCGAGCGACCGCTGGTGAACCCGGATCAGTACAAGAGTTTGTTCGTGAACAGTATACAAAGTCCAGTTAGTATTTTCGGGGTGAGCAGCGCCATCGAGAGGCCGAGGTCGCCCAGTTTCGTGGCACTGCCTCGGTTTGAGTCCTCGTGGGATGGACTTCGACGTGTTATACCCACCATCCTGTCTTACGGTATTAACGGGTGAGAGATTCACGTTAGTTCCTCTTCTTCACTTAAGGGGTTTCAGTTCTAGGTTAGGTTCCCTACGTCAGCTTAATGGTTTAATAGCGAACTTCTTTTGCAATAATAAAGTTTTTTGCTCCATCCTATAAATTACTTTAAGACGTCAGGGTTGTTAGTAATGGTCGCAAGTTACTCGAAGGGTTTTCTAGATTCTAGCCACGGATGGTACTTTGACTTTGTGAGTTCTGATGGTCATGTCATTCGTCACTTAGTGAATGTAGTCGACCATCTTGCGGAAAGGTACCCAAAAACTAAGGATCATAGAAAAAACTATAGTATGCAACATGTTGATTAAATGACTGAGGTTTTTTGACTTTCTTTGTATATAAATCGGGTGTCGCTATCGCTCTTCCCCGGAGCAATTCCTCTATCCTTCTCTATAGTTCGAAACATGTTCCGTGTCTTACGTTGGATGTTGCCGTTCATACTGTGTGTGTGTACTGACTACATGACCAAATTCACTTCACATGACGCATAATGTGTACACAATTTAAATTTTGTTCTACTCTCAAGTGTCGCCATTTAGTTTCACTCGTCGTGGCAATATGAGTTTTTTCTCGATGTATCCTATAACATATTCCTCCACTAACATTCGATGTCATAAACTCGGTGTTTTCGCCATTTCTGTGGTTGTTGTGCTTTGTTCTTTTTTGGTTTGTTTATTATCCAGTTCTTGGCCAAGACTTTTCTTTCAATTTTGTTGAAAAATCTTTTTTGTTTTTTTCGTAAAATGTGGGTCCCAGAGTATTTGTCTAATATATGGCCTAGTTTGCCCCAATTTGTTTGTTATGTAAGTTCTAGAGAGGTTGATTTCTACGCCGTTTCTTGATTATTCGTCAGTAAGTTCACGGATCCTGTTCATTTCCATCTTGCCCCAACACCATCTGATCGTCAGCGAAACTTATAGAGGTACTTATTTTGAATTAGTATTCGCACTTGCTCCTCCAGGGTCTTTGGGGTCATCTCCAAATATATTTTAAAGAGGGCATGTCGAACAGCCCTGCCATGGTTTCTTTGAAGTTTTGAAGCTCTGCTCTAGCCTACTATTTATTTTCGCTGCCACTGCGTTGTATTTCTGTAGGCTTTTTAAAAAGATTTTTTCAACTTTTCAACGATACAAAGCATTACTTATAAATTTCAAGTTAGTCATGAACCTCGAAACAATTGTTTATCGCAAAGTGTACGTCACATTGCAGATAAAATAAAAAACTCGCGATTTTTTCAATGGGGTTATGGCTACCGACGATTTCAATTTTTTAACATGAAAAAAAAAACTCAACCTCCAGAACATGTACTAAAATGTAAATGTTCATTTATTTTATGTGTATTTCCAGGTATCCCTTTTTAATACCCGGAGCAGTGGGCGGCGATTACAACTCCCCGGAAACGAATCTGGCGCAAACGAATGGCTCTGAAAATCTAACGGACCAAGAGCTGTTCATCAGGTGGCTCCAGCTGACAGCGTTTTTGCCAGTTGTTCGCTTCAATAAATTACCGAATAGTTACGGGGACAAGAAAGTTTTGGACGCTGCTATTAGTTTGGCCATTTTGAGGCAGAACAAGGTATTAACTTTAAGTAATAATTAATAATAAATAATTAATAAACTTTAAATAATACGTCAGTAAATGAGCCATTGATTATGAAAGTGATATAAGTAATATATTTCTAGTTTTTAGATGTTATGAGGTTTGCATTTTAAAGAATTAAAACATATTTTTGTATTATGGAATAAAATATTTTGACAATTAAATAGTGCCAACAAATAAGGATTTATTATTATTGTGAAAACCATTTTTAAAAAGAAATGTGGTTTTGAAAGGTTGAAATGACCATTTTCAAAACCAACTGCATAAATGACTTATACCATCAAGGAAATTTTTTATTAGAAATTAACATTTTATTCACCTCATCACATTGTAACTAAGTAATTTATTGTTAAGTATTTAGGGAAATAAAGTGTTTGTCGAAAATTGGTGAATTCCAAATTATTATTCGAAGAGGTTTCATAAAACATCATACATGGAGCATTTTTAGAAATTTGCTTCATTATATTTTTAGCTAAAACACAGCTTCTTCATCGATGTTTCTCTTTCTATTAGTCGTTGATTCTTCCAGTTGTTTCGTCAAAATGAAATCTTTCTAAGCCATTCGTTCTACCAAAAATGATATTTTCTTTTTACATCATTCTTTTAAATTATAATAATGCTCAAACGAAAAAAGAATGGCTGGATACCATAAATCTACTGTTTCAACATTATTATAAGATGATTCAACCATATTAAAACTATATTAATGTTACGATTTTGTCCCGAGCAGGCATCCCTCGGGTTATCTTTTGCTTTTTGTATGTCGTCTGCTAAACTTTAAACTACCCTGTTAGGCACTGTTAAGATGTGAATCATGAATTTCCATGAGATACAACTTCTCGTTTTCATTACTGGATGCTTCAATTTTTCTGCTGGAAAACTGAGAATATGTTCTCGTACAACTTTAATCTTATCTTCATCTGTTTTTCTAGATGGACCAGCCTTTTTGCCACTACCATCTGTTTCAGGTGTTTTAGCAGTTAAGACACTGCTTAATTTTCCGTTAGATATTTTTAAAGCATAAAAAAAAATTGGAAAAAAGAAACTTCTGAATTCCGTACATAGATTAGATTAAATAAGATTAAACTTCAAACTACATTTGTTTTATTGATTGATTCCGAACCAATTCATACACAAACAAATTCTGTTTTTCGAAATTTGCTAATTTCCAAAATGAATCAATAGTGGCTTTCCTGTGTTTATATTCAAATTCATTCATACATTTTTTGGAACAAAGGGAATCTTTATTTTCAAAAACTTTACTACTCAGATGCTTAGGCCCTTTTGTTTCATATTCTTCTCCACTATTTCTCTTTATTTGTTTATATTTTGTGCATAATTACGTTGATTTGTTTCATATCCTGTTTCTTGATTTCGTGTTACTTTCTTCCGTTTGTAAGGTTTCCGATGTCACTTTTAAAGTATGAACTGATTCATCGGAAGAAGATGTTAACCTCATTCGTTTTCATTTCTTGGAAGCATAACTTCGCCGTATAATGTCTACAATTAACTCTAAATAGTCCATTTTTACATTAATAGGATTAGCTAATCATGCCTGAACCGCTATCTGAACTTATACTTATACCACTTTCAAAATGAAGGGCTCAAATAATGTCTGATTTCATTCACTTAAAAATATTTCTTGTACTAAAGTATTGAAATACCTAATGTTAATGTTGTCTTAATCATCCGCACCGTGAAGACATTAATAATTTCAATGATATTCTTTTATATTTTCATACGATTTAACTTCAACGAAAAAATTTCAAACCAAAAAATGTTTGAATGAACCTATTAAGGTCATCCGATCATTAGGCCCTTGTGGATGTTGGACGCCAATGATTCTGCCTGTTAATTAATTTAAAAATTTTGATCGATGGTTTCTTGAAATACGACACTCTATGCATTTTACTAATATTTCGTTTTGTCTTCCAAGAGTCAATCAAACTCCAAAGTTCTTTCTAGTTAGCATTGATTTTGACCAAGTTAGACATGTTTTTGGTTTTATTTACTTCAAAGGAGTTAAACTATCCAGTTCACCCAATTTTGGATTTTCCACTCCGCGGCTTAGGGTACTTGTTTTAGGCTTGCACAAACTACAGAGCACTTATTGAATTGCAATGAGGAGGCCTTTACTACTTTACATGCAGACAAACATTCATTCTTTCGGCGAAGAATGCTAAAGTTTACTAAATATTTGAACATGTTGCGATATAGAAACAATTGTTGTTATTTATCTTAATTTTGTATTTCTTGTGTTCTAAGTTTTTCTTGTCTTTCATAAAGTCATTTTTTTTTCCTTTCATTTCTTTAAAGGACATATCTTTCAGTGATTGTCAACCATCGCACTAATATAAAAAACCTGGATTAATAAACTAACCAAAAACTAACAAAATTTTTAGGAAATGCTTAATAAATTGAAATTAATATACAGGATGTTCCTTTTTTTTCAGGAAAATTAATATTTTTCATTTAGACTCACCCTGTATAAACGATTCGAACTAACTTCAAGACAGGACAAATGACTGTAGCACTTTATAAAATTGTTGGCATCATAAAATTACAGCTGACAACGAAATATAGGGTATTGAACACGCGGCCATTTTTGCGAAAACAGTCGGTATAGACAACAACAACCCATTGGAGTAACTATTAATGCCATAATATACACCATGTTCCATTTAAAAAGACAGATAAATTTGATTTCCCACATATTTAAGAATCATCCTTCGTATTTGAAAATAATTTGAAATTGTTTCTTTAGGCCTCAACTTTTTTATATTCATATGGGATATATTACTTTGACACACTATTTGGACACCCTGTATTCGCTCCAGAGGTGAACACGCAAAGGACTCAAATCAGATCATCTAAGTGGTCAGTGGAAGTGTTGGAACTCCTCTGACGCAAATAAAACCAAAACAGTGTAAGAATCAATGCTAACTAGCCAGATTCTTTTGGTTTTAATTGAATCTTGATAGAAAATATGAAATGACAACAAAGATGTGAAGATATGTGGATGAAGTTTCCTATTTTTTGGACACCATATAATCAACAAATCAATTCTCGATATCAATTTCGAAGTCAAAAATGTTGCATTAGTCAAGACACCTAAGAAACTATTTTGGTTAAGTATGGGGAAACCTTAAGGAACTTACTGTGAATTTTAATAATAATAATTTAAATATAAAATAACATAAATATACGAGGTGTTGCATTTAAAGCAAGGAAGTTAGGTGGCGTCAAGTACTTATAAGATATATATATATATATATATATATATATATATATATATATATATATATATATATATATATATATATATATATATATATATATATATATATATATATATATATATATATATATATATATATATATATATATATATATATATATATATATATATATATATATATATATATATATATATATATATATATATATATATATATATATATATATATATATATATATATATATATATATTCACGTATTGATTCACGGATGGAAAAATGTGATGACACTATATTCCGGGATATCATTCGTTCGCTTGTTGAACGCCGACTGGAATCCTGCAGACGTTTCGCCAAAATCTCACTTGGCATCTTCAATGCTCGCGCTCCGAAAACACTTCGAACACTGTTATATATATATATATATATATATATATATATATATATATATATATATATATATATATATATAACAACTACACATTTTCATCGTATGCAGCACATTCAAACCAACTTTCGTATTAAAAATTTTTCGATAAAAAAAACTTATTAAACTCTCTAAAGTAAGGTTATCATAAAACTAAAAACATACAAATTTTAAGCAATGTATTTTTATATTCAAAAATAGTTTTTGAGAAATTCAGATATGTCTGATTTCATATAGAGAATATAGTTTTAACACTAAAGGTAAAGTTACCTTTAATTAATTAAAAGAAAATTTTTGTCGACAACTAGGTGGAGCCGCCATCATGAAAAGTCGTTGCCGACTCATTAAATCAATTCCCCGGGTTTCAGGTGAAGCCGGTGCTAAAAAAATTCGCCAGAGTTTCATTAAATTTGGGGCTGCCGATCATTAGGCCATTGTGGATGTTGGACGCCAATGATCCTGCCTGTCACGTGGTCATGGACGAATTCTCGATAGGCGACGACATCATAGTCGCCCCAATTTTAAAGCCGGGCGCAAGGCAGCGCGAGGTTTACTTGCCGGCTGGTAATTTTTTTTCAATACAGTAAAAATTCAACTTCATCAACTATTTAACTCGAAACTTTAACGGCCTTGTTGTTTTTCGCAATATGTGTAAACCTAATCTACCTGACATTAAGCTTATAATAACGCGCTACGCAGTCTACAAAGCCACTGCGCTGCACGGCATTGTGTCTCAAAATGCCACTAGAAGAACGCATTGCTTTTCTATCGTGCTCTTGCGGACCACTATCGATTTAATTTTATTGTGCATGCACCCTGTATAAAGTGTCTTTCACCTCTCGCCGAAGTTTGAAATCATGGCAAAATTTGGTAAATACAAAAATTTGTAGCAGTAGTGGCGATTTACCATGACATTATCATTCAAATATAGCGGGCACTATGTATGATAGACAAAAACTGTAAAAAGAAAATTGTAGCTCTCGACACGAAACTGTTTAAACCAAATTATCTCATATTTTGCCGTTCTTCTTTTGCCATCAATAATTTTCCCAAAAAAATGGAATTTTTCAATATAATTCAAAAATTGGTGTGCTGGACCACGAATTTTTCCAATTGAGTAAATGGTTTCGAAAAAAATATTTTTTGCTATTTTTGATTTGCGGCAAATAGCTCTGAAAAAGAACAATTTTTAGGGTCCATTGTATTTTTGTCTATAATTAAAAAACTCTGTACATAATCGAAAAAATACCCGAAATAAAAGTTGTAGTCCCGGATCTCTTCCGTCTTTTGGTTCAGCAGTTTTCTGCTCGATTGCACCTAGCTTTCACATATTGCATGCGGGTGTGGACTCCTACCACCTGCCGCTTAAAACTCCATGTAAACAAAACCGTCGACTGGATTATAGTGTTTAACCTTTTTTTTTCCTTCCAAGGGCACATCAATTTTCATTTTTTTGCAAATACTGGTATATTTTTTAAAAATTATCAAGAATAGAAAATAGAAAATGGAAAAAGATGTTTCTTAATTTTTGAAAAAAATTGGCGTTTTAATTTTTAAAAATAGTTCCTCTTCGTCAATCATTGCGACTTCCGAAAAACTGAAGAAAATCGCGAAACAAAGATAGACGCCAATTTCCGATCGCGGCCATTTGTTATAGGCCAAGGTCTTTTTAAAAACATAATAATTTCAGCATCCGGGCTCCGACGGTTCCGAAGTTATTCGCGTTTTTATGGGGCGTCGGCAGAGAACAGAGAACGGAGAACAGACATAATAAAAAAAAATTCGACGCCGATCATTTCTGTACCAATGAGGGTCTCTTAGGACCTCCCGTTGCCGAGATATAAGTTTCGTTGGCAAGCGAAAGAGTTGTTTTTTTTCGAATATGTTACGCATTATGAATATAATCGCAGTGTCGTAACACTGTAAAAGAACGGAGATTAGTAAGAAAATTCTGAATAGTCTATAAGATTTGACTCAAAAAAGTGTTCTGTTCAGGGTTTTTTACTATCATGTATTTCTCAACAATCAACTCTGTGACACGTGAATCTATTTTCCTCTATTCAGTCATAAAAAAAATACCAGACAGTGTATTCGTATTGAGTTGCCCGTCCCAATTTCTTGTGCATTTTTGTTCCTGTACACTTTGGGTTGTTGTTAAAGGTGTATGGAAAGATGGAATCGACCAAAGTCTAAGGAAAGGCAGCCGCTGGATCCACGACTACGAGATTGAGGAAAATGAAATCGCATTTTTCGAAAAAATGCCGGACGACACCAGATTTTAAATCGCTTCGGTCTAACGTTGATGACCGCCGCACGAGTTATGTTTCTCGATCCCTAAAAATTAAATTTAAAAATGATTTTTGCAGCCTTTGGGAACGAGATTTTGACTTTTAGGTTACCTGAATATTTGTTAATTGTGATCAATTAATTTTTTAAGTAACCCATTAAACTACATTATTACGTTGAAAAGAAGAATAATCTTATCAAAAATAAGATCCCCAAGTGAATTGACAAGTTGGGTCCATTTAAAAATAAAATGATCAATAGTTAGGCCAGTCGATTCAAAATATTTGTGAAATAGGTGTGAATGGGTGTTGGATAAAGAATAGTAGGATAGTTCAACATTCCTCGAGCATATGTTCCTGAATACAACTGTCGTTCTCTAAATATATAAATAGAACGAATATTAGATGCAAATTTGAATGAAAATCATTTTTTATTTTAGTAAAAAAATTAAGCTATTTAGAAATCAAAATATAGATGGTCAGTAAAAAACAGGAAATAAATTGTAAAATATTTGTACCTATTAGTTACAAATTTCTTAAATCTTCAATCATTTTTGTGGTGGCGAGAGAGTGACTAAACCTTGAATTTATTTGAGATAATTGGTATTAATAATACATGAAATTTAAACACGAATTATTTCAATTATAAGACAAATTAAAATAGAAATTATAACATTTATGCTGTGAAAAATGTTTACAGCAGTAGCAACATTCCCAAATCGCGTTTCCATTTATGATCTTCACAGTTGTCTTAATAGGTATTTCTCAACTTCCTTGTGATATATAATAATTATAATTTTATGTAATTGTTTAATATATATTATTAAGTAATCGTTTTGTATCATTTCTTCCCGAAAACATTTGTAATTATTAAACTACATTTTATGAAACACTTTGAGATGGTTCAGTGGTTTGGCAATAGGACAGCAGTGAAAGTGAATTTTAAGGTGGCGTACTGCTAAATTGAAAATTTGCATTACACTTCTAACAGTGTTGGTTAGTAGTAGACCCGCTTCAATATATGAATTTATATAAGTTTGTAAAAACTTTTTTTATGAATTTTTATTCATAACTTTTATCTTAAATTGTGTTCGAGTTATGTAAATAAATAAATTAATAAACATTTAATTACCCCACACTGTTAATGCAATATTAATTAAGAAAACATCCCTACGATGCGACGGGGATAATTTTTTCGGTTGAATAGGAAACCCTGAATTTTTATTTAAAATCCGACCACTAGAGGATGTTCGCCACAGGTAAAGCAGCATTTTAAACGGCTTTCACTATATCGTTACGCGACGTTGCCAGACGTTTCGAAATGTTTGAGAACACGTTTTCTACGTTTAGTCTTAACTAGCGGGGTTATTGGCACTAATCGCAGATTAATTAAGAAAAAATCAGTTAGTTAGCCCTTATTTTGTTATTATCGAATCTAAACGCTAAAGTTTCCATTTCAAAGGACTGTAATAAAATAAACAAAAAATACGAAATCGCAAATTATTATTAAAAAGAATATAATTGAAAAAAAGAACAATATTCAATTAGCAATACATAGGTAATTCATGAAGTAAACACATCGTGAATTAAAAATAAATGTTTTTTTTTCAACTAATTTCTATTTTTCGTCAAAAAAAATGAAATAAAATAAAAAATTGCTTTTTTGAACTAAAGTTAAGTAAAAACTTATGCAATGACAAAACAATTTTTTTTATGTTTCGGAATTTCCAATAAAAAAATAAAATCTTGAGCAATGCATAATGAGATAAAAAAATCTGTTGGACCGCTGTTACTTATTTATATATGGCAACTGTAAGTTTTATGAAAAAAGTACAGGAAATTTAAAAATTTCTAAAAAACTCGTTCATCGAAATTTATTGTTTCCATCTTTAAATTTAGTCAAGAAAAATGATATGAAAAATTCCCTACACAGGTTTAATTATAAATAAAAAAAAGGCAGTGTGTTTTTATAATAATAATACTCGAGCAAAACTTTATTTTTTTATGTATTTTAGTTTTTAAGTTTTTTGAATTCCAGCCAAAAAATTTTAGGATTATTTAAAATGAGGAAAAAAGTCCATAGTTGCAAAGTCTCTAAATACTTCTAAAAGTGCTGTAAAAAGCTACTTCCGGGATTGATAACACCCATTTTAAAAATATCGAAAATTTACCACCGAACAGTATCCAAAAATCGCATAATCAACTGAGGTATTCATGGAAGAGCTGCTGGTAAAAAGAAGTTTGTCTGCAGGAAAAACAGAAACCCCCAGATGGAGTTTGCCTATCAAGAAAAAAAATGAAATACGGTTTTTGAAGTGATGAAACGAAATCCCGTTTGGATCCGATATGTTGGTGTACGATTCAAGGCAAACATGGAGGAGGGAACATAATGGTTTGTACAATGGAAAGTGGGTGATTTCGATAGGGCAATAATACGAAACACGCATCCAAGTGAAAGACGAGTTTAGAGCAGTAGTTCCCAGACTGATGTACCTTCTGCAGCTACATTTCTTTAATATTCTATATAAATTCTATAAAAAATTTGCACACCATCGTAGGTCCCCATCAAGTCTCCGGTGGACCTTTAAAGGTCCGCCTGGACCACTTCGGGAACACTAGTTTAGAGAGAAAAACGTATCGCCAGATCTGAACCCCTCCGAAGACGTTTGAAATGTTTTTAATTGGCGTATTCAAATACTAACAATGTTAACAATCAACAGGAACTCTTTAGTATCATTGAATCAGAGTGTTGCAATTTCCTACAAAAACTCTACCAAAGTTGGTGGATTCTTTGCCTACAAGGCCGTCTTAGATTCTAGAGTATCTATTCTATTTTATTTATTCTATTCTATTATTCTATTATATTATTTTATTCTATTCTAGAGTATCGCTACACAATCGTTTATTCTCAAGATATGGAAACTGAAAAATGAATCTTTTTCTAATAAAGTAATCCCAGAGAGGAAACAGCAATGTGGACATGTGCAGTAAAAATGGCTTCGAGGTGCAATACGCAATACGGACACAATATGGACTTCACCTTATAATACATAAGCTTTTCCAGATTACACAGATTAAATATATAATTTCGCAGTTTTGGCACGAATCGACATAGAATGCATATAATAATAATATTAGTCTTTACTGATATATTTTAAAATATCAACTCAAACTGCGAAGTCTACCTTACGATCTTGATCTCAGGTACTCAACATTATCCGAATATTACAATAATAATGAGTCTAAAAATTGGTTATTAGTAAAATATTAATTTGTCTGGGAGAGAGACTCGTGTAATTATTAAAATTTACATACTTATTTCCAGGTTTTATGTGAAATTTCTTTAACATTAAAAAATATTAACCTAAATGAAAATAATTCTTTTTAAAATGACCAAAGACCGTTTTACAGAAGCAAATATGTTCATAATATTAAAATGTTTCCCTATGTTCGAAATGAGTCTGTCCATAGGTCAACTAAGTGTGGTTTAAGCTTCATCAAACAGTCCATATATTAAACAAAATGGCCGTAGAAAAAGTACTTTATTTTCCGAATTTAGCTAACCAGTAGCAACGTTTCGGGATTTGCGCCCACAAAATCTGGCAACGACGCGAACTTCAACTCTAATAAGCCGGCAAAACCCGCGCTGTTCACTTGTTCGGCGTCGCTGCGTGTTGAACGTACGTCCGCGATTAAACGCCCGGTAGACGGAAAGTCGCGCGTAAAATCCGTGTCCCCAAGACATGTTTTACCCCCCTTCGTGATATATATATTTTTGAACGACATTAAGTCGGTTTTAATTGTTTCCTTTTTGTATGGAAAAAGTGCCGAAAATGCTACTGGTGGTCGGTTAGTGTTCAGTGATGCAAATAGTGTCTGAAAATCAACCGGGATCGTATCCGCCGACATGCCGTTCGTCCAGCGGATCGTAGAACCGAAATTCGTGTCCAGGCTCGCACTTTTCAACGACGATGGTACGCCCAAGGTCGCGGACGAAGAATTACAGGCGGTCACGAATAGTACTTTGTGTAACGCCCTCAGGCAGTTGGCCTCTTTGGCTCTCGTCGCCGACGATATTTTCAAAGAGCTGGGTGGTCAGCTGAAGATCATTTATCAGCGGTCCGAGAATGTGAGGACCAAGATCGCGACGGTCGAAGGGAAAGTCAACAAATACGATCCCAAGAAGGTTCCAGTTCGTAAGTATTTGTGTGTTTTTTTTCTTTAAATATTGTCCGAAAACAATAGCGGTCGTAGATGATGAATAAACTCCACGGAGCATGTTTATAGTGGCTTCGAAATATTGTTTTTGAGAAATCGTGAGTTATCGTGCATGTCTCCAGTCTCCAGTATTTCATATGGAATGCTGTCCTGGGGTCCTTCAAAACATGCATCATCGCCTTGCATCCCAGAATTTCCTGCACCCCGTATTTTGACACCTGACTTGACCTCTATATTAGTCTCTTCAACAAAAATTGTAACTTTTAAGCCCGGTCAATGACGACCATCACCAGGAACAGGACCGGATTTGGTATCCCTGTGAACAATTGAACTTTTTTTGAAAGAGGTCCATATTACCAGGTGGTCTTTGCCTAGCGGCTTAATTAGGGTTGCAAACAAAGATAAATTTAAACAGCACAAATGATTTTTTCTACTCCCGTCTGTAAAATACCTAATTACGCACCTATCCAAGGTGTGGGAAGTGTCACTTTACCACGTCAGTTTCATTTCCTACGAATCCGAGCCACTTCGGACATTTCCGAGTTTGGAAGCAATCGGACGTTTTCGGAGATATTTCCCACGCTTTGAATTTTGACGTTTGTCAATTTTGACCGGAATGTATTCGTGTCCTTTTGCCAAAATGTTCCCGAAAACTAACGGTCGTAGAAAAAGTATAGTATGCAACACATTCGGTAAACTTTTTAACTCACTCGTTTACTAAACACTCGCTTCGCTCGTGTCAAATAAACTCGTGAGTCAAATGCCGTTTACCGCACTTGTTGTATAATATACTATTCTACCTATTTCGTTAAACATTCCATTTCAACAAAAAGTAAAGGATCAGCATCTTTCCCTTAAAATTTCGGTATGACTTTGTAGCAATTGAAGTATATATATGCTATATTTGAGTCTTTAGCCTTTTGGCTTTTTTGCACGTGAGAAAAAACAGCACGTGGCAAAATATGGAAAAAATAAATTCTTTACCTATAGTGTCGTATTAACAAATTGGCAAATTTCGCATTAATGTGCTCATAAGTTTTCGCGCATGTTTGCGAGATGAGACGCAATGCGGGCGAAAATTATTGAGGTCCCGATAATTCTAGGAATTTTTCATTAAACCTGGGATGATCCTGGATGATCCGCATAAAATACATAAGCGCGGCCCATGCAAAATGCAAAATTTTCAACGAAGCTTTATTCAAAAGTTATTATACCCATTAGGTAAGCAGTTTTTCAAAATAAACTACATCGACGCACAATGTGTTTTGAGTGGATAGAAGAGGAAATTAATTCGTTTAGGTTAAGAATATACTTAACTCGCAAGCCACATCCAATGATCAAGCAGAACTGTCTCTATTAATTCCTATTTTACTTTTGACTAGGGGAAGCTCACTAAATGATGATTACTGTCGTACAAAAGAGAAACCATAAAAGAACTTCAGTGATATAAAGTTAATTGTATATTGAAACTCTTAATACCAAAACAATTATAGGAAGAGGGTCAAATAAACAGTTTTTTCTTTGTAATTTAGTTTGGCCCTTGCTCTTGATTAATTTGTCAGGCTTGCTTTATATTCTCCAAAATTTATCTTATGTTAATAATAAACCCGCGCCTCTAGACAACTGGCATAACGCTCTGCCAGCTAAATTAAAGAACGTACCAAGCGTTAAATCATTTATTAAAAAAATGTACTACTTAAATAAATAAAACTATTTTTGTTTTTTTTATGCTTTAGTTATGTGGGGGCTCTCTGTAACTGATGTTTTTACACAATTACTCTTGATATTTTTGCTAAAATTGATAAATTATGTTTATGTATTTTTCCGAAATTTTTTTTCAAAATAATTTGCCCAAATTAGAAGACGTGCCCAAGGTTCTTCTTTAAAATTTTATGGTTCCATTGATTTGGTTAATTTTCAGATTGCCAGACGAGACATGGTACAAATTTAAAAACTTTATTAAATGTTAAAAAAATTAAATATTTACCACGTTTTGTTAAAAACATCTCTTGTTTTATTTTTTTTGTATTTTATTTTTGCTTATTTATATAAAAAAATTCAAAGAATAACGACATCCATACCATACCATCCATAGTTTGCGAGGAAATTGTGGAATAAATACACTTTGGAATTTTTTTATTGTTGTTAATGAATTTAATAATAAAATTTGGTGTAAACGCTACTTTGATTACTGCATTACATGCATACTATAGGTAAAATAAAATGTCATCTTAAGCTTTATATACATTAAATGTTTAAATTTTCGGTGTAATTTCAAAAATACTTGTGAATCATTTGTGTGAAGTTTGATCGTATATCGGAAAGAATATTTGCGTTGAAATGGCTCAAAACTAAATACTTGATTCATTTTTTACTCACAAGGTTATGAAATATTCTTTTTCTACTCCCGTCCGTAAAATAGCTAAAAATACGTACCTATCTAGCGTGCGGGAAGCGTCACTTTACCACGTCAGTTTTATTCTCACGGATCCGAGTCACTTCGAACATTTCCGGGATTTTACCGCACGGGTTTGGGAGCAATCGGATGATTTCGGAAATATTTCCCACGCCTTGAATTTGACGTCAATTCTGACGGTCGTGTCAGCGAATGTATTCTTATGGTTTGGCGAAAATGTACCCAAAAACTAACGGTCGTAGAAAAAGTATAGTATGCAACACGTCCGGTAAATTTTTTAAGTCACTCGTTTATTAAACACTCACTCCGCTCGTGCGAAGTAAACTCGTCACTCAAATGCCGTATTGTATTCGTGTTATTTTGCAATAATGTTCCCCAAAGCGGTCCTAGAAAAGGTATAGTATGCAACACGTTTGGTAAACTTTTTAAGTCAGGAGCTTACTTGGCACGAGCGGACCGAGTGCTCAATAAACGAGTGACAAATGTTTCGGTATGAAATTCACAATTCTCCTTTAAGGACTAAAAAGTTTCTGGATATGCTCCAGCATAATTCTTGTAAATTTTAACGCTGCTCTAGTATTTAGAAAAAAAAATCCATTTATTGAAATTACAAAAGTCTCTGTCCCAGAAAAATAAATGTTTTACCACTAGTCAATTTTTAGACTCTTTTTATTATAGCTTGTTGTTTCATTTCATTGTAATATTTGGTTAATATTGAGTAGCTGAGATTAAGATCTTAAGCTAGACTTAGCCGTTTGAGTTGTGTAATATTTTAAAATATCTCAGGAAAGACCATTATTATTACTATTATTATTATTATTATTATTATTATTATTATTATGTCTAATTGTGCACAAAACTGAAATTGTATATTTAATCTGTGTAATCTGGAAAAGAAGTATTATAAGGTGAAGTCCATATTGTGTCCGTATTGCTGTTCATTGCTCAGTTCCCATATCTGAGGGCGGAGAGAAAAATTCTGCACTTCGAAACCATTTTGACTGCACATATACTCCCACATATTTTAAATACGAGTAAACCTTCGTACTGCTACGCATTTCCAATAATTCGCAACTAATGTAAGCTAGAAAAAACTTAATCAATTAATCAAACGACAGCGAACCCAGCAAGAGATTCGGCAGGAATGGCATAGTAATTCCAGTTGATGTCATAGTTCTGCTAGGTACTTCCGACAGTGATTCCGGTAATTCAATAGCAATAGCTAATTAATAATAATATAATTGTGCCTACGAAACGTTTTTTCAGCAACAGACTTAACATACGTGGTTAAATCTTCTCGTACCGATGAGAATGTTGTGGACCTAGTTTGGGTTGGGACATACTTCAAAAACTACCTGCCATCGGTTTTTTTCTTCTCGGAACTGCACACAAAGACGGTGCCGTAAAAATGTATCCCAAAGATGTCGGTGGCGCCCGTCCATGATGTGTGAACGTCTTGTCCGAATTAGTATCGAAAATAGTTGCTTTGGGTGGCTTGGCGTGAACCGTTTTGCTTGGTTTGTCTGAGAAAATTCCGTCGTTTTTAGAGAAATTTCTTGTCACGTTATTTACAAGATAATTTTGTTATCCTTACTTATTAATAATCGTTAAATAAGTTTAAACCAATAGGCCTCTTGAACGTAATTTTAGATTTACATGAAAACTTTTTAATTAACTTAACAATAAGTTACACCCCCGATTTTTTTTTCTTAAAACAAAAATATATTTACTTTGTAACTAATCCTAGAAAGCTCGTCCGCGCCCTTTAATTTTGACGCCATACCTAAACGCTACTCCATGGGTTGTGACGTCACAAGGTAGGTAGTGACAAGAAACGCATTGTAGCCAAAGATTTTATAATGTTGGGTCTATGGTTTCCATTTGATTTTATTGATTTTATTCATCGAAGTTTAAATATAATTCGTGCCTTTGTGTGATTGTTATTTGTAATATTTCCATATCAATATAATAATCTGACTTTGGTTGACTTCTTAGTAGTCGCTGATTTTTTCGCCAAGAACGTGGCTCCATCATTTTCCATTCCATTTGGTTTTCCATATCCTGCTCCAACTGAAAATTAGATATAAATATAAACACAATAACAAATAAAAGTGAGGTTAGGCTACTAATTATTTTTCTCTTAATGAATTGGAAAGTAATTGTTTCAAGTACTTATGTTAAAATGCTCTTCAAAGATTTAATGTGGGTTTTTAAGTTTCGCGTCTAATGGATTTTAGTCATATTTTTCTTGATTCGGTAATTTAATTAAGGTTTTTTCCTGGCGGGAAAATGGTTGGAGTTTTAGTGATACATCAGCGATAAACCATTTTCAAAAATTACTGAAAACTCTCGAAAAAACGTTTCCCCAATAACTGTCAACACGAAAACATACCTCATGACGTTTTAGCGGAAAATTTTGTCACAAAATTAATGTTTCACTTATGGTGAAAATGTTTAGCGGGAATACTTTTTAAGTCATATTAAATATTTTCATTCAATAAAAATAATACTTACAAGGACCCTATTGCATGCACACTTGGAAGAGAAGCGGCACATATCGGG